GGTTAGCAGTCAAGTGTTTTAGCCACTACGCTACCAGAGCTCCTATACATATTTTTTTTTTTCTTTTTTTTTTTTTTAATTTACCTTTAAATGTGTTTCCCAAAGGTTGATATGCCTCAATGTCGTATCCTGAGATGGAAACAGTGGTCTCTAAGGAAAACATGACATCATTTTCCATGGTGGATTCCATGAGGTCTGTTGTATTTTTTAACAGGTTTACTACGGAAAGTTTCTCATCTTCCAACGGACTTGTGGAACTAAAGGAACTTTGATTGGTGAAGGCAGCTGCTCTCTCATCCCCTTGTGGTATTAGCAAAGCTGTCTCGGTGTGTATTTCCCCTTCAGGCAGCCCCACAGGCGTATCTGCAGCCCCTGTCAAAGGCTCAGCCCCTTTCATACTATCATGGGTGACTTGTGCTGTCTGAGACATTTCCATTCCCACCTGACTGTCTGTGTTGTCCCCAAGGTCTGGGGCCCTTATCTGGCTTACACTTTCCAATTTGGTGTCATCCCACTCATCAGTTATGACAGAGGCAGTTGGAATAGCTATGCTGACACCGGTTGTGACTTCTGGGGTTCCAGGCAGGCTGTCAGTCTCCGGCTCAACACTCAGGGCATCCTCAGAGGTGCCAAGCAAGGGCTTGGGAGCAGTAGCCTGGATATTGTCAGCTGTCGTCTGTGAAGGCCTCTCTCCATCCAGTGTGAGGCTGTCAGCTTCAGTGCCTGCTGTAGGCTCAACACCAGGAACAGAAGTTGCCTTATGCTCTGTAGCTGCTTCAAATTTCTCAGTCCTCAGATTGGTGGTTACCATTTCTGTCATATTTACATAGGATGAAGGTGAATGTCCCAGACTAACTTCTTCCTGACTTTCGGATGCAAAGAACTGATCATCCAAATACTTCAGAAAACTTTGTGTCGCTTCTGTGGTCACGTCTACAATGGGCAGAATGTTGGTACTGCTAAAGTTGTCCTCCTTCTCATCAATATTCAGAGGAGCAGCTGCAGTGACAGTGACGGCTAACATGGCCTTAGAAAGTTTGCTTTCAGGAGACATTCTCTGTGGGTAGTTGGAACCCAACAGTCCCTCACTTGCCGGGACCACTGACTCAGTAGGAGTGTAAACACCAGGGCCATTAAGCTGTGTGAGCCTCGCTCCCACAGGATAGGTACCTTCATTAATAGGGGATACTTTATTTAATGATGTTGCTGAGGGTCCTTCTGACATTACCATTGGATCTTCAGTGACTACTAGCTGGGGTGTTTGTTTTGAAGTTTTGGAGTTATTTTCCAGGTCTTCTATGTCCATCCTCTGAAATTGCTTTTTTTCTGTGTGAATATGTTCTATCTCCCTCCTTTCTATTTTGGGGAAGGCCAGACATTGTGTGGAAAAGTTGAGAATCAGGAGGCTACAGAAAGCCAGACAAATGTGCAATACAATTGGTCTGCTCATAGTGGAAGAGATATGTGTACATAAATTGGCAGCGTTGATAGTTCCAACAATTGAGCCCTGCAGAAAAATAAAACACATCAAAATGTCAAAAACACATTAAAATGTCATATATATGACATTTCTTTTCTCCCTTTTTGGAATTCCAAACCAAACCTGTTTGTCATCAAATTGATTCCAACTCATAGTTACCTTATAGGACAGAGCAGAACTGCCCTTAGGGTTTCCAAGGCTGCAATCTTTATGGGAACAGGCTGCCACATCTTTCTCCCATACAGCCACTGGTGGGTTTGAACCTCCAACTCTCAGTTAGCAGCCTAACCAAAAAGTGTTTAACCACTGTGCCACCAGGGCTCCTTTTTTTCTTCTTCTTTTTTTTTTTTTTTTTAAATAAGCCCCTTTAAATTAAACCATAAATAAAATAATCTCCTTGACTTCATGCTCAGAGGTGGTAGGTAACAGAGGCCATTCTATTTCTTTGTACCTTTGAGACATGGATAACCTAATTCATTTTTCCCTGCTGAATTTTGCAACTAATTTAACTTGAAGCTCCCTAGAAACAGATACATATAAGTACTAAGGATGCATTAAGTACTAAATTAATTGTTTTTGTTAAAACACCTACTTGAAATAAACTACCCTTGAACTCACATTTGCAATATTCTCTCTAAATTCTCCATTATCCATATAGTCGAATGACTACAGAAAAAGTAAAATATTCAGAATATAGAAAGTGAAGTTTGCAGATTCATTCAAAAAACCTCTTAAGTCTGTTTTAAAACTTACTATCATCATAAATTACCTAATGCCAGTTACATTCAGGAGTTTTTTAAAAATCTATAAATGAATTTCAATTAAAATTGCCTTTTAAATGTTTAAATCATTCCTTTTTATCTGCAACAAATATAAAAATTGTAGACAAAACTTTTGTGTTTCAAAATCCAAGAACTAGGAAAGGTAAAAAATTAAGCAATGTGAATAAGTATACTTGTAGGGAAAAAAGCTTTCTGAAAGAATCAAAGGAATGGTTACTGAATAAACATTGTAAATTTAAAGCATTTAAAAAAAACAGCACTGGCACTCAATACAAATAAAACTACATTAAAACTAACTTTCCTCAAAGCTTAACAGTTTTTATTTTTTTTTAATCTACTTTGCTGAGTAGGGCTTTTGCTATTTCCTATCATCAGAAATTTCTCAGAGATGTAAGCTGTAAAAAAAATTAAAGCCAGCAATTAATATTCCAAAATGAAAACTTTGTCTTTATGAAAGTTATACTTTGGTTTTCCTCCATGTCTAAAGATTAACCATCAGAGTTAAGTCTGTGATTTATACATACAAAATAAAATTTAAAAATTTACATTTTCAATGGGTCATCTCCACTTAAGGAATTTAAAACTTCCCTGGGTTATCCTATTGAGATAAAAGGTCACATCCTTGGGGCACAATCTAGATGATTGAAGACAAAAAGAAGGCTGACTTTGTGAGAAAAAGAAGAATCCAGGGATTCAGAGCTGAAGCCTCAGGCCAACTATCAGCACCACAGAAGTGAGTCATTTTAGAAGGTTGACCTCTCAAATGCAACCTCCTGAAAGACCCCAACCCAGAACCATCCAGCTAAGCTACTTCCAAATTCCTGGTGTACAGAAATGGTATGAAATAATAAAAGCATTTATTATTGTTTTAAACTACTAAGTTTTGGACTACTTTGTTAATAGATATTGTGGGTCCATAGCACTTTGGGGAATACAGGAATGGGATGGATTATGATGTGCCATGATACAAAATGCAGGAAAGGAACAGTAAGTACTGCAGGGATCATAAACTTAGCATCAAAAAAAAAAAAAAAAAAACTGAAGCCAAAAGTACCTAAGAGAAACATTGCACCTGAAAAATCCTCAGTGATAACAAGAGAGGCATAAAGTCTCCTCGTAGGTAGGATGGAGCTTTAAAACAATTTTATTTAAATATTAAAGTACATATAGATAGCTAGCATCATTTTCTAAAAGAAAAAGAACATGGGAAAGACACTTGAGAAAGGGAAACAAGCACGTGCCAAGGCATGTCAACATTCTGGCCATTAGTTAACACTATACTTAAGATAAGGAGCTCTGGCGATGTAGTGGTTAAGGCATTTGGCTGCTAAAAAGGTCAGTGGTTCGAACCCACCAGCTGCTCCACAGAAGAAAGATAAAGCTTTCAAACCCACTGCCATGAAGTCGGACCTGACTCATAGCGACCCCCTACTTGGGCTTCTGAGGCGGTATCACTACAGATGTAGATTGCCCAACCTTCCTTCCAAGTCTGTAAAGATGTATAGCCTTGGAAACCCAATTGGGGTCACTGAGTCGGAATTGACTCAATGGCAGTGAGATTCAAGGAGTTCTAGTGGTGTAGTGGGTAAGGCATTTGGCTGCTAACCAGAAGGTTGGTGGTTCAAATCCACCAGCTTCTCCATAGGAGGAAGATGAGGTAAGCTATTTCTGTAAAGATTTACAGCCTTGGAAACCCAATGGGGGTTGCTATGAGTCAGAACTAACCTGATGGCAGTGGGTTTTGCTTTGGTATACTTAAGATAAGGAGTTCTAGTGGCACAGTGGTTAAAGCACTGGGCTGCTAACAAAAAGTTTGGTGGGCTGCAGGAAAAAGATGGGGCAAACTGCTTCCATAAAGATTTACAGCCTTGGAAACCCTATGGGGCAGGACAGTTCTACTCTGTCCTGTAAGGTCACTGAGTCAGAATTGACTAGACAGCATTGGATCTGGCTTTGGTTTATACATAAGATAAGAAGCTCTGGTAGTGCAGCAGTTAAGCACTCACTCAGCTGCTAATCAAAAGGTTAGCTGTTAGAACCCCCCCCCCCGGTCACCCTGTGGGAGAAAGACCTGGAGATCTTCTCCCACAAAGATTAAAACCCATTACTTCAATGTGATTCTGACTCAGTGTCCCTACAGGACGGAACAGAACTGCCTCATAGCGTTTCCAAGGCTGTAATCTTTATGCCACATCTTTCTTCATGGAATGGTTGGTGGGTTCAAACTGTTGACCTTTCGGTTAGCAGCAGAGTGCTTTACCCACTGTGTCACCAGGGTTCCCACTGTAAAGACTACAACCTAGAACATCCTAAGGGCAGTTCTACTCTGTGACACAGGGTCACTATAAATCAGAACTAACTTGGCAGCACCTAACAACATACTTAAGATGGGAGTCCCAGGTGGTACAGTTAAGGCACTCGGCTGTGTGAGGCCATCTAGAGGTAGGTGCTTTGGAAGAAAGGCCTGGTGATCCACCTCTGAGAAATCAGCCATTGAAAACCCTATGGAGCACAGTTCTACTCTGACATACATGGGCTCACCATGAATTGGAATTGACTCCATGGCAATTGGTTTTATACTTAAGATGAGCCACAAAGCATCCCTTGTTCATAAACAGGTAATAGGTCACTGTATTTGGCCTGCTGTTTCTATTCTGCTTCCTTAAAACAAAAGAAAAATATATATGAGAACTTGTAAAAACAAGAGTGTTCACTGCTGATGAAATTATACATTTGGAGTTAGTGAAGACAAGCTGAACTGTGAAACTATATCTATATAAATTGAAGGTATGCAAAAGCTATAGAACTTTATGGTTCATTTCCATCAGATAGTAGTCTTTTTATGAACAAGTATTTTTTCCATTCAGTTATAATCTTACTAAACATCCCAGAAGACAGAGGGTATGGCCTGAAAGCTTGGTCTGTATGATCCCATGTTTCTTGATAAAAACCTGAAAACTCCAGGCCATAATAAGTGACAGTCGCTATGCAGATTTGCATCAGGAAAATGATTCCAGAGTTATAGTTTTATTGTTGTCAAAACTTACTATATGATACTGGGCAAGTGGCCTCAGTTTCTCCTTTGACAAGTAAGGAGTTACATGATGTAATCTTTGAAATCTCTTCTACCACTATGATTTTATCTTCACATCTCATTTACATGAGATAAAATAAAAATATAAATGTTTCCATATTTCCACAATTTTGCCATCACATAGGCAAGGCATCCAGGTGACTGAACGTATATTTTATTTATATGTTCTGGGATCATATGGACCAAGAAGAATTTTATGAATAAAATAGATTTGGATTGGGGTCCAGGGATGATAAAGATTTAATAGAGTTCCAACTGTCTTTATAAAACAAAATTTTCTTTCAAGGGGTTTTATTTTCATCCAGATCTGGAATTTCAGAATTTTCTGTGAAGGAAATTCTGTCATTGCTTTAAAAGACTTCCCTTCTGTGATTAAGTGCCGGCCACCTGCTTCTAAATCCAATTACAACAGAAAAAGTGGGAGTGAACTGCCAGGCTTTTCCAGGTCTGTGTACTGCGGCCATATGCTCCTTTTCCCCACTATTCAAAGCAACTCTTGAATTTTCAAAGAAGAAAAAAGACAGCCTGTAGGAACAGCAGCACAAAACAAATCTGTAACTCAGATAAAATAATAGATGACCTTCAAGTTCTATATCTTTCTCCATCTTTCAAACCATGTATTCTACCTGTCCTACACTAGGAATTGTGTGAATTTAGAGGCAAAATAAGAAAAGACTGGTCAGGGTGAATTCAATGACAAAAAGGATAAAACAAAACAAAACTCACTGCCATCGAGTTGATTCCAACTCATAGTGATGCCCTTTGGGTTTCCAAGGTGGTAAATCTTTACGGAAGTAGACTGCCCAGTCTTCCTTCCACGGAGTGGCTGGTGGACTTGAACCATCAACCTTGTGGTTAGCAGTCAAATGCCTTAGGCACTACACCACCAGAGCTCCTTATTCAATACAATTCAATGACAGTATTTCTAAACCCAAAAAACTATCTGTAACCCTATTTTGAAGGTTATGGGCCTTTTCATTTTTCCTCAACATTGTATTTCCTACCTGGCAAAATGCCTAGCACAGAGGAGATGCTCAGTAAATATTTGCAGACCAAACAGATGAATGTCCTTACCCAGATTTGCTTGGGAAGGGAGGTGGAGGAAGTAGAGATTT